ATCGTTTTCAAATACATCCATGAAATGAACCATAAGTCAAGATAAGAAAAAGTAAATATCATGCACCATATGAACAAACTGCGCAACGGACTTAAACAATACCAAAGTTACCAACCAACACAAACATCACATACAAATAAGATAAAGTAAGGATCATGCACCATATGAACAAACTGCATAAAAGACTTAACAATACTTAAGTTACCAACCAAACAGTACTAACACTACATATCATGTGTCCTACTTTTACTCCGCAGGAAGGAACTGCACAAGATGGTGCTGCACGATGCACTCACGATAATGATCTTCCCACTCTGATCTTCTATTAAAGTGAAAGTGGCAGGCTGAGCAGATATACTCCTGATAAACAGGAACAAAATATTAGATCACCACTGCATTTCAATAAAAAAAAAAAATTAATGGTAAAAACGAAGTATATACCCTTCTGGACCAATGTTCTTCAATTCGATGTCCCTCTAGCTGGCTTCTACTTTCAAATTCCAGTCCGCAATGACAGGAGTGTGCCTAATAAACAGAGAATGATAAGTTAGATTAGAATCGTATTGTACTCAAAATTTGTAATTAAAAGATGAGGCATACATATACCTCTTTTGGATGAGCATCCTCCATATGATGATCAAGTTCAAACCAACCGGCACACTCTTGATTGCACTCAGGGCACTTCAAGATCTAATAAACAGAAACAGTAAGTATATGAGAACTGCATTTTAATAATAATAATAATAAAACAAAACCTATTGAAAAGGATCCATTTACCTTCAACGGATGTTCAACTTTCCAATGGTTGTCAAGCTCCGTTCTGCTTCCAAGCTTAGTCCAGCAGCGAGTACACGTCCACTTAAATAGGGTATCACATTTTAAAAAATGAAATAGATTAACATTACATTTTAGCAGAGGAATTAATAAACTAATGTTAAAACAGAAGGTATTGTTGGAGTTAGTGAGTAATGGGTATAAAAAGGTGTTTTTCAATATTGGTCGTACATTTTTGTGCAGTTTAGATACTAAAATTATCAAAATACTCTTAATGAAATTGCTTATTAATTAATGGTGTTTTTGTAATCTTAGAATTCGAAATGCACAAAAAAATGCAGTCTGAAATGAAAAACACCTCTCTCCGGTGCGTATAAACACAAAGAAAATGGATATGAAAATCACTTTAAGGTGTGTTTCAACAGAAATTTAGTATGCAAATATGGGTTAATTAATAACAGAAGTCCTAGGATAAAATGAAGCCTAATTTTCACAATGTTTTGCACCAACACCGATTGAGCATTCACCAAAAATCACTATCATAGATATAGTAATATACCTCCTCATCCTCGGCCTCAGGCTTCTCGGACTGCCACTCAACATCATCATCCTCCTGAGGCTCAGAAACACCTTTTCCAGCAAACTCTTCTCCGTAGAAAGAGCATTTCATGTCAATATACTTAATCAGTTCTTCCTCATCATATGCCCTGTTCTTCCACATGTCTGACGTGATATATTCATATCAATATCCAGAGGAAAGAACTTAGATTCAAGGCCGGTTTAGCTTGAAACAAGATTCTTAAAAGAAATCCAAAAAAAATCAACCAATGTCCAAAATTCAAACAAAACAAGGAATTTCAAAAACTAATGTACTTATTGAATTGAAAGAAATGTACCTGCCAGACGACGCTCGGTTACAGGTAAAGTAAAGATTACAAAAAGCAGACTGAAACCCTCTTCCTCTCGGGATACGTACTGTTTTCTCTGCCGCACAACACCTTCAGAATTCCCACTCTTTGTGTCCCCTAACACCCCTTATTTATACTCAAACTTGAAAAACCCTAAAACATAGTCAATACCAAAAGGATAAGCCTCTCTCTCGTGATCTGAAAACGTAAGCAACGCGGTGTTCTGACATGGCCAGGATTTGGTGATGGCTACAATAACCTTAACAGGGTCTGCTCCACAGGAAATGGAAAGGAACCCGAGATCCATATTTAGTTTGTAAACTAGTTCACGCTGCAGGCGTGAGAATGACTGGCAGGGAGAGCGACCGATACAGAAAGCCATGTGCCTACGCCCCTAGTAATGGTTTCCCTGCTGCGTTAAGGGCTTTGCAGCAGAGACGAACGAAGGAGGGAATGGGGTTTTACCGTTTTAGTTGAGTCCTGATGAAGCCGATTTTTCTTAGTTCAAACGACGTCGTCTCAATGGCTCCCATTTTTTTCCCTCTTTCACTCTGCCAACGACACCGTTCATTCTATATTTTTTTTCCCTCTTTTTTTTTTTTACTATAGGAATTTCTAACATATGCCCAAGGGTCTATTATGTTAAAAGTATATTTATTAATTTTTTATAATTATTTTGTATTAAAAATTAAAAAGTAACTTTAATTCTTTTATTAG